GCCTATTAAGATTGGAAATGTTGAAATCCCCACAGACTTCATAGTGCTAGAAATGGATGCAGAACCAAAAGATCATTTAATCTTAGGTAGACCCTTCTTAGCCACTGCTGGAGCTATCATTGATGTTAAGAATGGGAAGATTGATCTTAATCTGGGAAATGATTTCAAAATGAAGTTTGACATCAATGACGCCACGAGAAAGCCAACAATTGAAGGACAAACCTTCTTAGTAAAGATAATGGATCGCCTAGCTGATGAACTGCTAGAGGAGGTTGCTGAGGAAGATCACCAACACACTTCTTTGACTAAGAATGGTGAAGCAGGATATCTTCTCACTGAAACCTTGAGTTGTGGTAAGTCATTAGATTCACACAAGGAAGTAGCAGGGTCAGAGGTCTTAAAAGACTTGTTTGAGTCAGAAATAGTGGGTAAGGCAGCATATGAAGCAAGCTCAACACATGTTCAACCAACTGACTCGAGTATACACTTGAGCAAGCCTTCAACTAGTCTGGAGAACTCTAGCTCGATCAAACATCTTGACAAGCTGCTAGAGTCTAGCAACTCCGCGCCAGATAGCTGGTTAGAGCTCAAGGAGAGGTCCAAATGGCAGGACAAAACCATAAGGGAGTTAGTAGATATTGTGAAAGAGCTGAAGGATCAAATCAAGGAGCTCCATGGAAAAGCCAACCAAGTGCCACTCAACATCAAGAACGTCCAAAATGATGGAGCCACTACTGTGGTCAGCAAAGAAGGATGTGAATTCACATTGAAATGGTCTAGAGAAGAAGACCATCCTCCTGATCAAAAAGAAGGTTTCTTCAAGGACATGGCCACTGAGTACTCAATTGCAGACCTATCAGAAGAGCATGCTGAGTTTGACGATGCATCTACTGAAGAAGAAGAGGAGACCTCGTTTCCTCTCTGCAAACCACCCTAAGCCTAATGAGGAGTCAAGCTTAGAGACTTAAAACAAGCTCACTTGGGAGGAAGTCCCATGTCTATCCACGTACATATTTTTATTTCCTTGTTATTTTTAATGCGTTTGGTAGTGTTTTGGTTTTCAGGAAATGAGTATCAAGTGCAAAGTAAGTGGTCTTGATTTTTGAATTTTGGAGGTTATACTCGATGAAGCATATGGGATGACAGTGGTACAGTGCAATCGAGTATGGAGTGGGGTTTTGGTTCCAAGATTTTTGGATTTTCAACATGTCACTCTATCACAAGAGGCACATGGTAATGAAGAGTTGCAGTCGAGTATGATGTGATTTTTGATCTAAATTTTTCAAAATCAACATCATACTCGACCAACACAAGCCACATGGTAATGAGATGACATGGTCGAGCATCAAGAAGGAGAAGGAGCAGAAGCACAAAAGCAAGACTCCTCAATGGCCTGGCAGTTTACACAAAGCAGGCATTGATGAGCACATCAACTCCTTCTTCAGTTGAGGTAACAACTCCATTTCTCACTGATTATACCATTTCATGTCTTCTTTCTTTATTTATTTGTCTTGAGTACTCTCTTCCAAGTATGGTCACACAGAGGACTGTGTGATTTAAGTTTGGGGGAGGGCTCAAGAAGTATCTGATGTGTTTGCTTTGTTCTTGTTTTCAAATTTTTCTTGCATTGTATATATTGTCTGCATTCATCTATGTTATTGGAAAAACCCTATAAATTTGAAAAATTTCTGAAAATGATTTCACAAAAATAGAGTGTTCATGTAGTTGCATTTTCATTTTAAGATTGAGTCTAGAAGGTTTCATATAGGATTGTTGCATTTGCATAGGAGATGATGATGAGATAACCTTGTAAGCATGCTCATTTACTGAATGAATTCAATGCACTCGTTATTAGTTGTTTAATGCTTGTGATAGAACTTGAATTAAGACTGCACCATATTTGGAATTCACAACTTGACTCTCTTGTTTTAATTGAAGCATGCTTGATGTGATTCTTTTCCCTATCTATTAGAACCTGAACTTGACTTGTAATTATCATGTCTTTGCATTGTTGTTGAACTTGTGGCTACCAATATACATACTTGGATTTTCTTTCACCTTCCACCACTCTTGCTAATCCAAGTAGCTGATTCCCATTATTGGAACAGTTTTCCCCACCCTGAACCTAACTTTTCTTTCAAGCCCTGAATAAATTTGTGTGTGTGTGAGGCCTATTTCCGGATTGAGCTTGGTAGAAAGTGTTAGGTATGAACCGACAAGAATATTATCCCTTGTAGTTCTAGTCCACGATTTTTGGGCTAGATAGGACTAGGTGGGAGTTTTACTTTGGGTTTGGGAATGTGTTTGCAAAGAAAATGAGAAAGAAAGACAAGTGTTATTGTTCTTAGGAGATGGAAGTGAAACAGAAAAGAATATCATGTTAGTCTAGTAAAGGATTTGGGAAGCTTGAAAAATAAAAGAAGTTAAGCTCTATGCAAAGTAAAAAGAAAGGCAAAAGCCTAGAAATGTCTTAAGTCATGAGATGAGAAGAAGAGCCTTAGTTGTAAAAGAAAGTCCCAATCCGCTAGAAAGTCTAAAAGAAAACCTCTCCTAGAACAAAACCAAAAAGAAAGAATGGGTTGATCCAAGAGTTTATTGAAACATGCCTTGAGTGCAAAGGGTAGAAACAGGATCATTTCTGGGGTTTAGAGATAGGACCATCTATGGAGTTTGATATGTTTATGGTTATTTGGGTAGATGGGGTCTGTTCTTGTATGCATAGGTTGGTTCTAACCTTTAGCATTCTACTAAAGCTCTGTCCATTCAAGAGAGTTCCCTGTTACTGTGAAAAAGTCTGAACCATTTACAGAGGAACCATCTTTGTTTCTCAGCCCTGTCCTTTAAACCAAATGAGTTCCTCAACAATGTTTTGCTTGATTCATGGTTTGAGCTTAATCAATGTTAAAGGGAATTGATGATCTGAAGGTGTGTGTAGATTGGAACAAATGTTAGGTTGTCTTGTGATGAATATGGCTATAGTTTTTAAGTAGAGTTTGGTCTCTATGCATTCCACAATTACTAACTTGGACATTGAGTTCATTTGCTTTGTCTGCATGCTTTTGTTCTGAGTCCCCGCTTTCAAACCTCTCCTCCAGCTTGTTCTTAATTGTTTGCTTGAGGGCAAGCAAAGACTAAGTTTGGGGGAGTTGATATGTCTATATTTTACTTGTTTTGAGCATTCATTTGTCGTCAATTTAGCATCATTTCACCACTGTTTCATACCATTTCTTATCACTTGTCGTCACTTTACATGTTTAGGATAGCTTTGCATGCATGTTGCACATTTCTTTGGTTTTCAGGTGATTTGGGGCTACTAATGAGCACTCAGTCGAGCACTCAGTCGAGCACTCTCAGCAACCTCCAGCAAAACCACTCGACCACATCTTCTCATCACCAAGTGGAAGACGCAGTCGAGCATCACCAGCAGATTCTCCTCAGAACCACTCGATCACCACCTCCTTGGAGTACTCGATTACATCTTCAATGCCATAACTCGACTGCATCTTCAAGCCGCCACTCGATCTCGTGGTCGAGCACACGCTCCTTCAATAACTCGACTGACCACTCGATTGCATCACCAAGAACCATTCGATTGCATCACCAGTCACCTACTCGACTGACCACTCGATCCCCGCTCCTTACAGCCACCTGATCACAAGCTTCAGAGTCTTCTCAGATCCGCACTCAACCAGACATTGAGCATAAGGAAGAGAAGAGGATGAAGCATTACATCATGACTGGAGCAAGAATCCACCAAGACGTCAACTTTACTCGATTGCTCCTACTCGATCACAAGGGTCGAGTACTCTCTTAAACCGCTTTAAAACCTTGTCGTTTTGTGTTTTAGGGCTTCCTAGTATTTACTATAAATAGGTTGTTTCTCTTAATTTTTAGAACTAAGTTTTTATTTCTGGAGAACAATTAGTGCTTTCTTCATATTTGTAATCAAGATTTCTCTTAATCTATTGAGTATTTGCTTTTGATTTCTTCTACAAAGTTGTTCAACTTGTTGAGATCTTGCTAATATGAAGTTTTTATGTATTTATGGGTTTGTGTTCTTGGTTATGAATTTTGAGTAGTGATTAGGGTTCTTGAGGATGGGTTAGAGTAGCTTAGAATCTTTAATCTGATAGGTGGTTGAGTTTGATTGGTAGATCCCTTCTGGATTAGTTGTTTTTAATGCTGATTGCTTTCTGATCAACTGGAATCTGAGCCCAGACATTTCCGCACCCAAAAGGTGTTCGATGAATTGTCTGAACCACTAATTCCAGAGATTCGTGGCTCTGTACCAATGTATTGGTTACAGGGAGCGTCTTGGCTTAGACTTGTTGTTTCGTAATGCCTGTTAAGTCAGCTCTCGTCAATGGTGATTGAGTCTGGGACTAGCTTTGCTTAAGGATCTCTGTTGCGGTAGCACTTTGATTTGGTTATTGAACTTGTTGTCTAGGGATAATTTGTTGAGCATGTTAACCACCTGTTAGATTAAGGAGACTTCACTACTCGATTACCCCATCCTCGGGAATTTCTCTTCCAATTGATTTCTTTATTTACATCGCTTTTGATTGCTTGATCTTGTCACTTGTTGTTTAGTTTTATCATTTCTAGCGTGTTTCATTTTAAGTACTCGACCACACCCAATAGTATGGTAACAAACTGTGCAGTCGAGTACCCAGTTTTTAGTTTCTGTTAAGTTACTCGACCTGATACTCGACCACACCCAGTGCTTGGCTTCAAGCTGTGTTGGTCGAGTATATTGCCTGTTATTGTTAGAATTTCTGTTTCTGCATGATCACTAGAACTGTTAACAACATCAAACCTGTTATTGCTTGGCTTGACTCTGTGATAGCTGATTGCATCTTGATTGCTAGCATCACACCCATTTGGATTGACACCTTAAATACTACAATGACATGATAGTACTTTAAGGAATTGAGAACTAGTTAAAATCTTACTATCACCAGTTCTTCCATGGTCCCATGAAATTGCTTTGCCATGTTGTGCGAATGAATTTGTAGACAGAGGGGTCAATACCAAACCTGAGAAAAGAGAACAAAACATTAGATTCGAAGACAACAATGAAGAAACTTATTCAAACCAAACAAACATTGTGTGGTTATTTTAAACTAACCATAAAGCTCCATTAAGCTTCCTTGGGTGCAGGTGTGGCTGGGATTCTCTTTCAGGAGCACTCAGCAATGCATCAAGAGTTCTTTGGCTGCAGTTGTTTGCATGTGACGACGTAGCGCTTGGAGATGGAGTGGCTCCTGGTGGTACAGTTCCATTTGGTACAGCTCCAGGAGGTACCCTTCGATGGTTTAGCTCTTGCAAAAAAATCAGAAACAAGTACAAATCATAAACAAAAGATCTATAACCCTAGACAAAGAGTGAAATCGAACAAAGAGAAAAATCGAGAAAAGGCATAGACTAATTGAATCCTAGACAGTCCTAAACATCCACAATAACATCAGATCTAACAAAAAATCGAGAAGGAGAAGAAGAGACGAAGAAAACGTACATGCCGGACCCGAGCCAGAGTTTCGTGGATGCCGGCGGTCCTGCTGTCGGCTGGAGGAAGCCATGGCAGTTCAATGGTGAAGAGATGTGACGATGAAGAGACAAAGAGATGAAGGGATGAAGAGAGGAGGCTAGGGTTTCAGATTTTTCTAAGTGTTGAGAGTTGTTGGTTTCTCTTCGTGAATAATGTGTGAGAGTGTTAGTATTTATTGGGCATTTATAATATTTAGGCCCAAAATTTTGGGTTGGGTTAACGTGGGAAAACAAAAAATTTCTATTGGGAATAGCCCAAGGAT